CATGTGTGCGTGTATGCCCAAGATCCCAAGAGGAAAATGGAGGAGAAGGGATTGTGGCATAGCCATCCCCCGGTGGGGTGTGATTTCTCATTTTCTGTGTCTCTGTCTCTCTCTGTCTTTCTGGCAAGCACATGTGCCCTATAGCAAAAACCTCTCAAAAAAAAAAAAAGAAAGAAAGAAAGAAAGCAAAACAGAAATTAATGGCATATGTGTATATACAGGCAACCTAGTTTTTAAACTAAGCACTATTTGGTAAAGTATAATTCAGGGAACCAACAGGACGTATGTTGGTTAGTGCACTGGACTCCCACATGACCAGTTGTGGTTCGGATCCTGCACCTTTCTGCATGCTTTCTTCTTTCTCTCTCTCTCTCTCTCTGGCTAGCACACATGTCCTATAGCAAATTAAGAAATAATAATAAATTCAATCAATAATTTTAAAAAAATACGATACATACTTGTTCTTGAGGCAGTATAGTATCGGAATTAATAGCAGAAGCTATGGAACAAAAATGCTTTGAGTCCAGAATGCAGCTTTTCTGATTAGTAAAACAGTTGTAATAGTACTTACAGGGTTGTTATAAAGTTATTATCATTTAAAATTTCAGCAATATAGAAAAGAACTAAGAAGGAGATGACACACAGACACACTGTGTCCATGTACTTTGAAATATATTTTATGAACTTTATTTCAGAGACTTCAGTGCATATAAACAGGATGGATAGAAGTATGCAGAAATAAAAACAAATAATTTATTAAAATGAGATAGTATATCATACATTTCTCTAAGTAGTATTACATTTAGTTGAACTTAGATTTAATACACAAAATAAAATGGAAGAAGTTGCTGAAATTAATGTAGTGACAACAAGAGATTCTGGTTTGAGACAATTCACTTTTGAGTTTAGTTGCTTTGAAAAGATGCATATTATTAGAGACTGGTGTTCTGTTTGGGGGTTTTTAGACTACATGTTTCAGATGTGTACAGTTGGTTGACTGTTGCAGTCAAGTGTAGGTTTTCTTGGTCAGCAGAGAACCTTTTCATGTGGTGATCGGAGGCCTCAGACTTTTTTCATTTTTATAGTTGTACCATCCTGTAGGGCCTTGGGGTCCTTTGCATCCCCCCTCTGGGGGGGAATGGCCACCCCACAGTCCCTTCTCCATTCTCCACCCTTCTTCTCTTTAGATTTTGAGCATGCATGCACTTGTGCCTGGCATGATTTTCAAGCTGTCGGGTCTGGCGCTCTAACCAGTCAGCCATGTGGGAGTCCAGTGTCTTAACCAACCACACTGCCTGCTGGCCCTGTAATGCACAATTTTTTTTTTTTTTGAGAGGTTTGTTTATGTTGTAGGGCACACATGCTCGCCAGAAAGATAGACAGAAAGAGAAAAAGCAAGAAATCACCCCCAGGAGGAATGGCCACGCCACAATCTCTACTCCTCCATTCTCCTCTTGGGATCTTGGGCATGCACACACACACACACAGCATGAATTTAAGCCACCAGTCTGGGACTCGAACTGTGGTTGACTACATGGGAGTCCAGTGACATAGCCATTGTGTCAACAGCTGGCCCCAGTAATGCACTATTTTTAAAAATCATAATTTCTTGGGCCATCTCCATGGCCTGGTGGTTAAGGCAGCATATCCCACAGAGCTGGTCAAAAACCAAATGATCATAATTTTTTAGTGACATTCAGAGAAGGGAAAAAGCTCTTCTTTATAGAGGAATGCTAGTTAAGGTGGAAAGAATAATAGAATTAGAAAATGACTATTTTTCAGATCCCAACATAATCATTGATTCAGGCAAGGAAAATCAATGAAACTTTGGGTGAAAAATTATTGGTAGATAGGATATCATATGGCCTTAAAATAATACTCCATGATTACTTACCAACTCCAAAGGGACAAAGGTGTTAATACCTTTTTCATGGAGGTACTGCTTTAAGCAGGTACTGCTTTAAGCAAGTTATCAGACTTGGTATTACATCCCTCCCTGATGTGATGCAATCACATAATAGTATCCCTCACAAAATGCTTACCTGGAATCTAATCATGAGGAAACAAACAAATCCCAAATGTGGAACGTGTATAAGACATTATGGCCTGGGCTTTTCAAAATATTTAATGTCAGGGCCAAATAGAGGCACAGTAGTAAAAGGTATTACTCTCTACCAGACTTACATGGAAAGGCTCTCAGTTCATGTGTGGAGAGTTTCTGATTACTCAGGCACGTGTGTGCTGTGATCCAGGGCTGGGTGGAGCTGGGGATGAATTGCACTGTGAGGATCTTTCTGGAGATGGGCGCATGCTCTCTCTCATGGAAAAAATTAAGAAAAAATTTTAAGGGGCTGGCATGGTGGTTAAGGGTGCTGGACTCCACACGGCTGACCACAGTTTGAGTTTCAGACCTGGTGGCTTGCTTTCTCACTTTCTCTCTCTCTCTCTCCCTCTGCCCCTCTCTGGTCAAATTAAAATAAGTAAATAAATTAAATTAAATAATTCTTTAAAAATTGTTTTAAATGTTCAGTGTTATGAGAAAAGGTTGGGGAAGTGCTCTTATGTTCTATATTTGTGAAGTGATATTTTGTCTGCAATTAATTTTCAAGTGGTTCATCAGATAAATAAATGTGTGTGGCCAGCCTGTGGACTGGTGGTTAAGGGAGCTAGATCCTGCATGGCTGACCACCATTTGAGTCCTAGACCTGGAGGCTTTAAAAAAAAAAAAAAAAGCAGGCTGGGCATGTGTGCATGCCCAAAATCCTGAATGGAGGGAGAGGGGAAGGAATAGGGATTGTTATGTGACCATTTCCCATGGAAGGTGCTTTCTCTCTCTTCCTCTTTCTCTGTCTCCTGGCAAGTGCTAGCACCCTCTGGCAAATTAAAACAAAACAAACAAACTTGTGTATGTATAAAGACAGAGAAAAAGCAAATAGGGCAAAAAATTAACAATTGGTGAACGTAGGCTGTGAAGTGCTTGTTCATTGCACTGTTCTTTCACTGTTTTTGTAATTTTTAAAATATTCTAAATTTGGGGCCAGCAGGTGGAGTGGTGGTTGAGGCACTGGATTCCCACATAGTTGAGCACAGTTTGAGTCCTGGATCTGGCGGCTTAAAAATCATGCTGGGGAGTGTGTTTTTGGATGCCCAAAATCTTAAGAGGAGAGGGGATTACAGTGGCCATCCACCACCGGGGAGTGATTTCTGACATTCCATCTGTCTCTCTCTGGTGAGCACACATATCCTATGGCAAAAACCTAAAAAAATAAAATAAAGAAAATAATAATTTAAGTTGGGAAAGTGTTTATTTCTGTTTTGAACCTATATCCAACTCCCCCCCCCATTGGTTTAATTGTGCTCTTTGGAGCCACTCTGATCTAAATTCTCCCTCATGTGGTGTTGGTGGTGATACTGTCAATTTTTTACATACATTTATTGAATACATGCTATGATATGCCAGACACTGTGTAGAACACATTATATGTGTTATTTCAGTTAATCCTCCCAACAGCTCTTGAGTTAGTATTCATTTCTCCTTTTAGAGATGAAAAGACAGATGCTTAAAAAGATATCACTAAAGCAACAGAAAAAAAAAAATCATTTTAAGAATGAAAATGTGCACTTGTGAGGCAGGCCAGAATATTCATTGGTGAGAAGCACAGTAGAAAAATTTGTGATAAAGTAACTAGACATATATATGTTTCTGGCCTTGAACTTGTTCGACATACAACCTACCATGCAGAGACAATCACGTGTAGCAGTCAAGGTCACATCCTTTAAGCCAGAATGCTTACATTTTAAATTCCAGTTCTGCCACTTGCAAGCTGCTACTGCCTGCAAAACACTTCTTCAGGATTCTATACCAGCGACCTCTATTGTATTAGTTTCCTATTGCTGCTGTAACCAATTGCTATGGATTTGGTAGCTTGAAACGACACAAGTTTGTTATCTTATAGTTCTGGAGGTCAGAAACCCTAAAAGGATGTCACCGGGCTAAAATTTAGTCGTCAGCCGGACTATATTTTGAGGCTCTGGAGGAGAGTGCTTCCTTGCCTTTTCCAGTTTCTACAGGACACCCACTTTCCTTGGTTTATGAACCCATCTCAAAACCAGTAACGGTGTCTCTCTCAGGGCCTTTCTTCTATAGTAACATCTTCGGATTCCCTTTTCCACTTTCTTTTTCAATGCTGGAGGATGCATGTGCATACAAGAGGGAGCACCTTCCAATGGTGCTTGATCACACTGCAACCCTTTTTCCTCTAGTTCTTCCTTCCATCAGGATTCTGGGAATGTATAGATGTGCCTAACATGTTTATCAAGACAGAAGGGCTGGGGCTTGAACCCTGATCAGCCACATGGGATGCCACTTCCTCTGCACAGCACTTGTACTGTGGACCCAGCCCCCTCTTCCACTTTTAAAGATACTTGTGATCACATTGGGCCTACCCATATAATCTAGGATAATCTCCCTATTTTAAGGTCAGCCTTAAATTAGGCTGATTAGCTTCTTTAATTCCATCTGCAACCTCAATTCCTCCTTGCCTTTTAACTTAACATAGTCACAGGTTTAGAGATTAAGGTGTGGATGTTTTTAGGGGACCATTTTTTCCCCCTATGTATCTTATTTTTAAATTCTTAAGTTGTAAAAGGTGCCTGGGGCCTAAGAAGATGATTCCAAAGTGGAGATCTTGGCCACTGTTGAGGACTGTGAGTAGGTCTAATAGTTAGGTTTAAACTGAAAGGAACTCAAACAGTATGAACATGTTTTTTAATTCTCTTACTAGCATAAAGTACATATAGTAAATTCATTATTAAAAAGTGCTTGAATTAGGAAGCAATAAATGAGTTTTAGTTATATCATGGTCAGAAAATGATTAAAATATTACAGTGTATTTTATTTCTGTTGTTTTATGCCAGGCCTTAGAGAACAGTGTTCTTTATTTCATTGGAATTTTAGATAAGCTTTGAGTTTAATTTTAGCTTTTGTGTTTTTATTACAGTTTTACTACCTTTGGATGCTGCTATTGATATGGAGAAGATTGAGGAACAATTTGCCAGTCTGCACATTGTTCAACGTTCCTCAGGAGCTAAAGAGCCCACTTACCTGCTTGGCATAGACACATCAAAGACAGCACAAACAGAAAAGGGAAGCTTGGTTGCCGTTTTATGTTCTAACGGATCAATCAGGATATATGATAAAGAAAGATTAAATGTACTACGAGAATTTAGTGCATATCCTGGACTTCTTAATGGAGTCAAATTTGCTAGTTCCTGTGACCGTGTATACTCAGCATGTAGCGATGGCACTGTGAAATGTTGGGATGCTCGATTAGCCAGTGATAAACCTGTTCAGCTATTCAAGGGATATCCTTCCAATATTTTTATTAGTTTTGATATCAACTGTAATGATCATATCATTTGTGCTGGTACAGAAAAAGTTGATGATGATGCATTATTGGTATTTTGGGATGCAAGAGTTAATTCTCAAGAGTTGTCTACTACTAAAGACCCACTTGGTGTGTATTCAGAGACACATAGTGATGATATCACTCAAGTATGTTTCCATCCGAGCAATCCCAACATGATCGTCTCAGGTTCAACTGATGGCCTGGTAAATGTATTTGATATTAGTATGGATAATGAAGAGGATGCATTGGTTACAACCTGTAACTCAGTTTCATCAGTGAGCTATATTGGTTGGTCTGGGAAGGATTATAAACAGATTTACTGCATGACACATGATGAGGGATTTTGTTGGTGGGATCTTAATCATCTGGATACTGATGAACCAGTTACACGTTTGAACATCCAGGATGTCAGAGAAACAGTCAATGTGAAAGAAGGCATTTTGGACTATTTGATTGGTGGCCTGTATCATGAGAGGATGGACAGTTTGTTTGTTATTGGAGGAACCAACACAGGAAGAATTCACATAATGAACTGTACTACATCAGGATTGGTCCATGTGACTAGCCTTCGAGGAGGGCATGCTGCTACTGTCCGTTCTTTCTGTTACAACATAGGGGATGATTCTTGGCTGACTGGAGGAGAAGATGCTCAGTTGCTACTTTGGAAACCTGGAGCTATAGAAAAGACCTTCACCAAGAAAGATAGCATGAAAATAGCATCCACTGTGCACCAGCGAGTACGAGTTCACAGTAATGATTCTTATAAGAGAAAGAAAAAGCAGTGATATTATATTAGAAGTATACTTGGTAGATTTTATAATTTCAAGTAATTATTTTAATTTGCTACCTGTGGTAGATCTGTTTAAAGCTTTAGGTAAATATAAGCCCATTAGTGAGCAGTTCTGGAAAAATGTTGAAAAAAGTATAATTCAGGTCTTCATGCATTCTAAAAAATTTTAAAACCATGACTTGAGTATAAAATCAGTGAGTTGAAAGTAAAATTACATTCTTCATTTTAAAAACCCGTCTGTTGAGTTAGTGTATGGGTTTAAAGAAATAGCTATGGTAAGGACTTTCAAGAAGTAGATAGCTGGTGAGATTTAATAAAAAAAAAGTTTCAACTGTGTTTATTGTATGTTTTTACATTTATTTTAATTAATTAATTTATTTTGTGGAAGAGAGAAACAGGAATCCTTGACATGGTCTCTCCACACTATAATCCTTCTGCCAGCCAGAATGATAGGCATGTGTAGCTGTGCCCCATGTGTTCAGGTGGACAGGGATCTGAACCCAAGCCTCCTGTATGGCTCCATTATCACACAGTGGTGCCTATTGGTTATACCACTGTAGCCGGCCCTGGCTGTGTTTTTTAAGCTCGGGGCTTTTTTCTACTTTAAATTATCTTTACTGATTATAAAATCAAATCAGATTATTTTCTTCATTTGAGGCTCTTCTACTGGCTTAATATTGCCTAAGATATTACTTTGTAGTATTTCAGTATAAATATTCGATGAGTCCACATAGAATCAAACTTTTTAAAAACAGTTTTTTAAAAATAATTGTTTTATTTAACTTTATTTTTAAATTTATTTTCATTTGACCAGAGAGGGACAGAGTGAGAGAAAGTGAGAGAGAGAGAAGGAAAGTGAGAAAGCAAGCCATCAGGTCCGGCACTCAAACCATGGTTGACCCTGTGGAAGTCCAGTGCCCTTAACCACCACACCACCTGCCGGCCCCAGAATCAAACTTTTTTTTAACAATAAAGTGATATACAACTATCTAAATTGAGAAAAAAAAATGTTTTATGGATAACCAGATGGTGTATGTGCTCACCAGTGACAGAGAAAGAAAGAGAGGGAGAGAGGGCCAAAGGACCCTCCAATGGGGCATGGTCATGTCAGAGTCCCTTTTCCATTTTGCCATCCAGTTGAGATTTGGAGCATGTCATATGTCTGTATGCACCTGGTGTGTCTTTCAAACCGCTGGGCCAGAATTCAAACTATAGTAATCAATATGGAATCTCGCTGTCTCTAACCATTAGGCTACAGCACTACCCACCAAAAATAGTGTATTTTAAAAATACATTCATCCCACTTTAATATTGATTGAATAGTAAACAGATGATTTGCTGATGAAAGTAAATTATCTTGAAATTCATTTTGAGACTCAAAATATAACAATGAAAATATGTACATCAGAGGACTATTTTTATTTCAAAATATTCTCTTTTTAGGTAGAGAGCTTTTTAGCTATTGGACAGGTGTGTTCCCAGAGAGACAGAGATTGAAACTGAGAAATTACCCCCTAGGGGGATGGCCACGCTGCAATCCCTTCTCCATTCTCTTCTCACACATGCACCTGATAACGAGTTTTAAGCTGCTAGGTTCAGGACTCTATTACTGTGGTCAACTACATGGGAGTCCAGCCATCTGCTGGTTCCCCAAATATTCTTTCAATAATATATTGTGATAAGTTTGCTTTCATAGCATTTCTTTTTTCTTTCTTTATTTTGGAGTGGTTTTTACTATAGGGTGCATGTGCTCATCAGAAAGACAGACAAAAAGCGAGAAATCACCCCAGGGGACATGACCATGCCGCAATCCCTTCTCCATTATCCTCTTGGGATCCTGGGGACCCACGCACACACGCCCAGCGTAAGTTTAAGTCACCAGATCTGGGACTTGAACTGCAGTCGACATCATGGGAGTCCAGCGACATAGCCATTATGCCAACTGCTGGTCCCCATAGCATTTCATTCATAATTTTAAGCTTGAAGTTTTGTTTACTGCTAATTTTGTAATTCTTCTAAAAGATATTTTTGTTAATAATCTTACACTGGGTACCTGTGCACGCCTGCCCAGAATTCTAGGAGGAAAATGGAGCAGAAGAGATTGTGGTGTGGGCATCCCTTATGAGGGGTGATTTCTTACTTTTTCTCTGTCTCCGGCAGGCACACATACCATATAGCAAGAGGCCAGCAAATGGCATAGTAGTTACGACACTGGACTCCCACATGGCCAACTATGGTGTAACCCCAGATCTGGTGGCTTGAAACTCACATTGGGTGTGTGTGCACGTGCATGCCCAAGATCTTGGGAGGAGAATGGAGGAGAAGGGATTGCTGCGTGGCCATCCTCCCGGGGGGATGTTTTCTCACTTTCCCTCTCATTGTCTGTCTCTCTCTCCAGTGATCACATGTGCCCTAAGGCAAAAAAATCTCTAAAAAAATAAATAAAAGAATCTTAATAAAAGAATTTTCTTTCTAAAGATATCTGTTCTTATATTTAATTAGAAGTAAAATATTTGTGTAGATATTAGAAATATTTTAATTAAAACATAAATGTTATGACTTATCTTTGAGACTGTGACCCTGGGGGAAATTTTTATTTTTCTATAGAACATTGCAGTTTACACTTAGGCTATCATCCAGCTGAACTTACCTGAGACTATTTAATAGGTAAATCACTGTTTAACATATTTAAAATAGATAATTCTGGTCCAGCAGATGATGTAATGGTTACATCACTGAACTCCTATATGGCCAACCACGGTTCAAGTCACAGACCCAGCGGCTTCAAAATCATGCTGAGGATGTGTGTGTGTGTGCCCAAGATCCCAAGAGGGGAATGGAGGAGAAGGGGTTGCACAATGGCCATCTCCCCTGGGGAGTGAGTTCTCACTTTCCTTCTCTCACTGTGTCTGTCTCTCCGGTGAGTGTACGCACTCGCAAAAGGCAAAAAGACCTATTTTTTAAAAAGGGAAAATATTATTATATTCATATATAATTCTTATTTGGAAAAAAAAATCAACTATTCTTGCTATTGCAAACCATAATCTGGCTATTTGTGGATCCTCTTTCTCTTTTTTCTTTGCAGTCACTTACCAAGTCCTATGCCATTCTATATCCTGAATCTGTCAGCTGATGCGTGCCCAAGATCTTGAAAGGAGAATGGAGGAGAAGGGATTGCTGCATGGCCATCCCCTTGGGGAGTAATTTCTCATTATCTGTTTCTCCAGCAAGTATTCTCACCCTATAGCAAAAAATCTATATCTTAAAAAAAAAAAAAGTAATAATAATAGAAAAAAATTTTTTGGCGGGAGTAGAGGTTTTTGCCTTAGGGTACGTGCACTCGCTAGTGGAGGAGAGAGAGAGAGAGACAATGAGAAGGAAAGTAAGAAATCACTCTTCAGGGAGGATGGCCATGTCACAATCCCTTCTCCTCCATTCTCCTCCTGGGATTTGGGCATGCACACACATGCACCTGGCATTGAGTTTCAAGCTATCGGATCCGGGACTCAAACCTTGGTCATACATGTGAGTGAGTCTACTGATATAACCACTATGCCATCTGCTGGCCCCTAATAGGGATCTTCTTTTTTTCTTTTTAGGGAATTATTTTATTCATCGATCAGAGAGGGACAGAGTGAGAGAGAAAGAGAGAGGGAAAGTGAGAAAGTGAGTCGCCAGGTCCAGGATTCAAACTGCATTAGGCCATGTGAGAGTCTAGCACCCTTAACCACCATGCCACCTGCTGGCCCCAACAGGGATCTTTTTTAAGGTTCCTTTGATTTGGGTATTATGCTGGGTATCTTTTAAGATGATGCTTCATTTCTCATCTTTGCCACAATCCCTCCAAGTATCAGCAGTAATATTCTCATTATTTTTTTTTTTGGAGAGGTTTTTGCTATAGGGCAAGTGCACTCGCCAGACAGAGAGAGAGACAGAAAGCGAGAAATCACCCCCCAGGGGGGATGGCCATGCCACAATCCCTTCTCCTCTCAGGATCTTGGGCACGCTTGCACACGCACACGCGCCCGGCGTGAGTTTAAGCCACTGGGCCCGGGACCCGAAACACAGTCAACTACGTGGGAGTCCAACAACATAGCCATTATGCTAACTGCTGGTCCCTGTCAGCTGTCCTTTTGCCTTTACTATATCACTACGGCCTGAGATAAGATTTTCATCATTTCTCACCTAGATGTAGACTTAGTCTTTAATTCGATTCAGTGCATCCTTCCCACTACTACTAGGCTGAACATTCAAAACAGGTCTGAGACTGGCCCAGTAGCACAGTCGCTAAACGCTTTACATAAGGATCTGAATCCCACATGGCTAACTATGTTTCAAATCTCTGGACTGGGTCACTCGAAATATACATTGGGTACACTTGCTTGTGTTCCCAAAATCCTGACAGGGAGAAATGGAAAAAGTATTGCGGTGTGACCATGCCCCACTAGGGGGTGCTTTGTCCGTCTTTGGCAAGCATACCCGTTCAGTAGCAATTAAAAAAAAGACGAAGAACCACAAGTCTGATGATGCCTCATGTTTCTTAAAGTCTTTGGTACATTTTGATCTTTCGGTGGAGCATTCTGTAAACAGTAAGAATCATATTTTCACACATAATCTTTAGGGTGTGAGCAAATGCTGGCTGTTATAAGTGGAAAAATATGGTTAATATGTATGGAGGAATTGAATTTATAAAAAAAATAAAATGGGAATTTTCAGAACAGTGTAGTTTATAAAGTTAAAATTTGAGTCAGCTAGTGGCATGGTGGGTAAGGTGGCTGGATCTCACATGACTGACTGTGCAGTTGGAGTTCTGGACCCAGCGCCTTGAAAAATACACTGAGTGCATATGTGTGCATGCTCCAAATCATGAGGAGTATGTAGAAGAAAGGACTGCAGCATGGCCATCCCCTCTGGGTGGGTAATTTCTCTCTCTCTCTCTCTCTCTCTGTCTCTGTCTCCGGTAAATGCACACATCCTATGGCCAAAAAAAACTAAAAAACAACAAAACCGCAGTTAAAAGGTAACCAAATCTTACGGTGTTTTTTAAAAGGAGCATTTTTGACCAAGTAAGGTTTACTTCAGGTATGCCATGCTGACTTGACATCAGAAAATCTATTACAGTGGGAACCAGCAGTTAGCGTAATGGCTATGTCGCTGGACTCCCACGTAGTCCACCGCGGTTCGGGTCCCGGACCCTGTGGCTTAAAACTCACGCCGGGCGCGTGTGCGTGCGTGCCCAAGATCCCGAGAGGAGAATGGAGGAGAAGGGATTGCGGCGTGACCATCCCCCCTGGGGGGTGATTTCTCGCTTTCTGTCTCTATGTCTCTCTCTGTCT